AGTAAATACGACGTATGCTGATAGAAGTCCATTCTACGGAGACAGCTTTAAGTATCTATCAACCAATAACAATATATCGATGGGGACGCCGAGCAAATATAGAAAAAAACTATCCAGACACTGCAATGTTCATTAGCTTCATATGTACATCTAAAGACTCTCCTACAAACTACTCCTAACCGCGAGTATATATAAGATAAGTAAATTCTATCTAATATAATCATATAGACACGACATATTAATACTAACTAACCCAATAGATTGATGACACTTCATAGACCATGCTAGATAACATACTGGACACTAAAGAAAGAGATTATACGTCGTACTCACAAGTTACGTCCAAAGGTACAATGAAGCGATGCATGCTAGCGTATCATACAAAGGAGAATAGACCAGAAAACAAATAGACATGGAACAACCGAGCAGAAAACCAAGGTCACTGTGTATCGCACAGATAGATCTTTAAATGTCAGTAGGCGCAATATTTGATTGACATTAACCAAGAACAGCTAACGTTGAAACAGCAAGTCAAAGCATTGATCCTGTAAGAATTAGGGCACTGTATTTATACAAGCACTATTACGAGATGCATCCTTTTGCAACATTCGAGATACACAGTTAGAGGATGGAGAGAGAAGAACTAATAGAGTACAACATGACACTCACAGTCGTGGCATGTTGTACGATTCATCCCACGTAAAGCTAGTGGTTCAGTACTAGTCACTCGAAGCAATGTCGGCTTATATTTTCTTACACACACTGGTGATTTCCATGGATTGTGGGGGGGGGGCGGGGGGGGGGGGGGGGGGGGGGGGGGGGGGGGGGGGGGGGGGGGGGGGGGGGGGGGGGGGGGGGGGGGGGGCCGCGGCGGCATGAGGATAATGGGGGGGGAGGGGGGGGTAGTTAGTCTTTAATAGAGTACGGAGGGACAGGAGAATTGATAGCTTAAGGCCTTTATTTTGAATATGAAGAATTTGAAATTTGTCATTAAAAGAATAATTATGGTCTTAGAAGGTGAAGTGCGTATGTAGAATCTGTTTTTCTATTATTGAAAGCTCTTTTATGTTCTGATTTACGTTTGATAAAAGTTCTACCAGTTTGACCGATGTAAGTTTTTGGACAGTCCCAACATTTAAGTTTGTATACAGCGCTGTGTAATTGCTTTTCTTTCGGCTCTTGTTGTTCTTAATATATTTGCCCAAGTTCTTGCTTGTTATAAAACCTAGCGTTATTCCTTTCTTTTTTATGTGTTTATCTTGATATCTTGCTTGTATATGTAATCGAGCAGAACTGGGTTTTCTCTGGTGGTGGAAATACTAATTCCAGGGCTTTCTTATGTACTTTTTGATTAAAAATTTTATTTAGTGTGTGTTCGTTGTACCAATTGTTTACTCTAGCCAATATTAGACAATTGTGAGCAGAAATATATCCAATTTTCGTTTGTATTTCTTGCTTTTGTTTGATTTCTTGAATTGATAAAATGCCTTTATTTACTATTTAATAGTTTATTACATTATTACAGTTATTACATTATTTTTTCCGATATTTTTTGGCGCTTTTCCGCCCCAATTAAACACTGTGATTCTTCTAATTCTTCTAATTGGTTACTCCTTTTAAGGTATTTTTTTAATTATTTAATTTTTTTCCTTTATATTCTTTTTTATCAGCATTTTATCATCATCATCATCAAAATCTTAGCCTTTATTGTTTTCTTACCCTCCTTAAAAGGAGATTACTGTTTTTCGTGTTTCCATAATAAGATACATGTACTGGGGAAAGAGAACTCCAACTCTCCGGTTCAGAGAAACCACCTTTAGCAATCCTGGCGTTTCTACATTTTTTGAATAAAGCGGCAACGTCGTAATGCAATTCTTGATGTACTGCATTCTTAACTTGCATGTTTTTACCTCCCTTACCTAATTCTTTTTTTTTTTATATTTTCATAGAATCTCTTTATTCAGCTCTTAATAGCAGTTAAACTGTTTTAAATAAGTTGTCACAAGAAATGTTTTACTGTGAAGAGAAGTTATCAGTGTTTAAACTGTTTGCAAACACAGAAAAAACTTGATGATTCATTGTTAAAAACATGAATTCTTGTTCTGATGTACCTGTCTGTAATTTATTTACTTAGAATCAAATTAATAATAAAAAAGAAAGTGTCATCATATCATCATGTAAGTACCTATTAATAGAGGAGTAATCGTGACCCCGGGCGATACGATAGATGAGGTGAAAAGTTGTTTGTAGGTGGACTTTGCCAAGTTTTAACGTATTCTTTAAATTTAATTTAAATGTTTATCATTAACACGTTCATACACTAAAAATAACTATCTATAGGTACGTGAATAGTTTATTGTGCATTCTAAAGATGATAGGATTTTGTGCGTCTTAAATTAAACTCTCTAGTCTTTTTTTAACTTCGAACAATGCTAATTGTTGGCCTTTATCGAGCAGACTTGATTCAGAACTTGAACTTGAACTATTGCATTCAATTGATTGCACAAAAGCTTATTTCATTTGGAAAAGCTAACATATCATTAGAAAATGGGCAATATAAATTGAAGTAAATATTTTTTTTAGTTTATGTTAGTTTCTCCAGCGTCTACGTGCGTGACAGTTCATACAATCAGGTGTGAGCATTTAAAATGGTCCAGTCTATACACAATTTGGAAATACATGAAAGCATTATGATCATTATGATTTATTACAAAACTACAAAATTATATAAACAATACTAACAATAAAAATTAAACAAAAGGAAAAATATAAAAAACCATGGATAACACCACCGTCACTTAAATCAATAAATTGAAGAACGCAAAAGCTCCAGGCTCTGACAATATACCAGCCAAATTTCTTAAGTATTGAGGAGAAACTTTACATAGACAATTACACAAACTAATAACACTTATATGGAACGAAGAGAAAATACCAACAAAATGGCACGAAAGTGTAATAATTCCTATCCATAAAAAGGGAGACAAAACCAAGTGCTCTAACTATAGAGGCATCTCCCTACTTAATACGGCGTACAAAATCTTATCGAACATCCTATTAAGTAGACTAACACCTTTTGTAGAAAATTTCATAGGGGAATACCAAGCCGGATTCAGAAAAAATAGATCGACCATAGATCAGATTTTTACTCTCAGGCAGCTGCTTGAAAAAGGATGGGAATTCAATAGAACCATTCATAATCTCTTCATAGATTTCCGACAAGCATACGACAGCATTAAAAGGGATCTGATGTGGAATGCAATGGCAGAACTTTCAGTTCCAAAAAAACTTATCCAGCTCGTTAAAGTTTGTGTAAATGGCTGTAGATCTAGAGTGCGGATAGGTAACAAGCTCTCAGAGTCGTTTGAAATAAACAGTGGACTGAAACAAGGAGACGCGCTGTCACCTCTTCTTTTTAATATAATCCTGGAAAAAGTAGTAAGAACCGCACAAATTAGAACAGAACTACTGACAGTAAATGGACCAAAATTACTACTAGCATACGCGGATGACATTGACATTGTAGGAAATACCGTCACCAATGCAAAAGAAACCTTCAATAAATTAGAGAGAGAGGCAAAAAATACCGGTCTAAGGGTCAATGAAGAGAAAACCAAATATATGTGCATTAACAGACAAAAGAGACGAGATAGAATAGGACAAAATGTAACAATAGACCCCTATAACTTTGAAAGAGTGGAGAGTTTTAAATATCTCGGAGCGACTATCACCACAGATAACGATATCACGGAAGAGATAAAAGGGAGAATTCAGGCAGCAAACAGATGTATGTATAGCCTCCACAACACTATTAAATCCAAGAGCCTAACACGAACATAAAAAATCAGGATATATAAAACAGTAATTAGACCGGTGCTCATGTATGGGTGTGAGACGTGGACGCTGACAAAAGCAATGGAAAGTAAACTCAGATGCTTTGAGAGAAAAATCCTCAGAAAGATCTTCGGTCCCTATCACGATCCGAATACTAACCAATACCGAATGAGAACAAATGCTGAGGTCAAACAAATGTATAGTGCTAGCGACGTAGTCCAAGAGATTAAATCCCAACGTCTAAGATGGGCTGGCCATGTTCATAGGCTCCCTAATAACCGCCTTACCAAGTTAATCTGGGAAGAAGTCCCGACAGGGAAAAGGCCCTTAGGACGTTCACGAATGCGATGGAGAGATAATATATGGTCAGATTTGAGAACAATGGGGCTACCCACTGACTTACACATCATGGACGACCGTTCGAGATGGAAGCAGGTTGTGCAGTCAGCCAAGACCCCCCCGGGTTGTAGTGCTACCAGAAGAAGAAGAAGAAGAATAGTCTCCATCTATCTTTCAAGTCGGACACTTCTGGGTGTTCCTCATAAAATCCACTAAACAATTTACATTTATTTTGAATGTTTTATTTAAATGTACGTTAACATTGAGAAACCTTTTTGTGTGAATATCGATATGATCGCTAATTAGGCTAATGAGAATGTAATCTATTCCATTTTTATGGCGTCATATTTGCAATTAATGTATACGTTTTATCTAAATTCGAAGTAAATATGAGTATGAAAAAAGATAATACAGCTAAAGCAAATGTTAGGTATGCATTTTTAGGAATTAATCCAAAATTTCATTTATAAATATGACATTGTTAGATTTTCCACAATATTGTTGTCATATTTATACTTCATCATTATATAGACCTAGGTATAAACTAAGACCTGTGTTTGTTTTTTGGAGTAGAAGGTGAAGTCTTATTCAGCTGAAAAATTCAAACGCTGAACACAAACAATGTTTGTTCAATACTTCCACAAATCTAATTTTAATTTATTATCACTAGAGCTGTTTTGGCAGAGTGCCTCATTATCATCATCCTGTCTTTACAACCCTGTGTCGATCCTAACCTCCTCCAGAATTGAATCTGAACACTATATTTTTTGTTGTAGTCTGTGATTAGTATCCTCAATTTTTATGAATTTTTTCCTCTTTCGTAATAGGTTTCGAAAAGAGAAGGCGATTCCTCACTGATGCAACTCAAAGAAGAATTCCGAACGTACGACGCCCTCCGCCGAGAACACGACGCCCAGATCGTTCAAATAGCAACCGAGGCAGGATTGAGAATTGCCCCGGACCAATGGTCGGCTCTATTATATGGAGACACTGCACATAAATCGCATATGCAGAGCATTATCGACAAACTTCAGACTCCTCAGAGCTTTGCTCAATCTGTGCAGGAGTTGGTGATTGCTTTACAGAGAACTGGGGATCCCGGGAAGTTGTCGGTGTTGAGGAACCATTTGGATTTGTTGGCTGCGATCGATCCTAGTCCTGGTAAGTAAATGATCATTTTTCTGTTAATTAGTTTTCTTTCAGCTTCTTTTAATGACATATAAAAGGCATTGGAGCTACATGTAGCTATTTTTTTATCACAAATAATATGTCTGAGATAACATCGATAGAAGAAATAAATATTTCATTTCTGCATTTTAAATGTAACTTATCTTTGACTTTATTAGTACTTATTTGATCATCGGCAAACAAAAAGCTATAAACTTGGTTGTCATCAATTTTTACTTAAATCTGTCCACATTTATTGTTCCAGTTTTATAATGTTTCATCTATATAAAGTTTAAATAAGTTTAAAATGTCCAATTAATTATGGGACACACCCTGTATATGAAACTACATTTTTTAAAAAAAAGTTCTCTAATGCTGAAAAAGTCAGTTATTTTCATCTGCACAACCCTTTCCGAAAAATTAAATTTTTCTGTAGTTCTTAATAATCTGCGCTGCTCCTTTGGTACTCCCTGAACTAGTAAAACCTGGAAATGATCTCAGCAGCTTTCATTGCTTATTGGATTGTAGGACAATCAACACCATGTTCTTCTTCATTTTCTTCATCAACATCCATTTCCACATTTTGCACTTGTTCCACAATTTATTTATCACTTATACCTTAAAATTTTTCTACCTGATCGTCTTTTGAAATGTAGGAGTCAAGATCAATTCCAAACTCTCTCTATTTCTCTCTCTCTTTCTCTCTCTCTCTTTCTCTCTCTCTCTTTCTCTCTCTCTCTCTCTCTTTCTCTCTTTCTCTCTCTCTCTCTCTCTCTCTCTCTCTCTCTCTCTCTCTCTCTCTCTCTCTCTCTCTCTCTCTCTCTCTCAAAATTCAGATTGTTCGTATGGTTTTTAGAGGTTCGGTGGCATTTTCCTCTCTGACGACTGGAGTAATAGTATTAATTGTTTAATACATTATATTCTTATATATCTGTAATTTTATCGTTTTAATGTAAATCTACATCCTCTAATACCGTCGACAATATATTTTTTATTTATAATAAATAAAAAGTACTCAAACTTTTTTATTTGCTGATTTGGAAACAATTCAAAACTGTTTTTAATTCAACAAATATTATGCCGAATTTTGACCTTTAACTTAATCTTAATGCGAAAGTAAATAGATTATTAAATTAAAAACAAACCAATAAAATTATTTTCATGTGATAACATAAAAAATGTTTGGTTTGAAAATGTGTTTATTACTTGCTTCATTTGGTTTATATCGCAGATAAATTCGAATTTTTGAAAATTTAATTTATATTAAAGTTTTTTACAAAATTGTCTATAAAGCTAAGCTGGATAAGGTGGTAAAATCTGCACTCGGTTGGATTCTTGTTTGGGTAAAGCATTTGAAAGTACCTACAAATTAAAAAAAACCCTTTAGCTAAATTTTTAGTTCCTAGGTGATCCCAGGGGTCCCTTATGCGGGGTAAAAAGTGTGTTTTTTCGAAAAAAACTCTTAAGCAATCTTTTGTTTTAAAAAATATGAACAAACATTTTAATACCTAAAAATTTTTTTTATCAAAATGGAGCTCAGGAAAAATATTTGAATTTTTAAAAAACATTTTAGTTTGTGTAGGTTATTTTTGGCAAACGCCTTTTGGAGATAGGTGGAAGCGAATGTGATAAAATCTAAGGGACAAATCATACTTGTTCGACTTCATCTATTGTGATATCTATAATGGTCATTACGATAGGTGTTATGGTATGAGCTTTTTTAGCTTTTTTCAGTTGTTATTAATAATTTGTCAATATACTTCTTTTACCCTATGACGGCCGATATGGAATTAAGATATGATCAGTGGGCCTCAAACACTGCGGCGGTAATTTTTAATTCCGATCGCTTAAAAAGTAAAAATATTTAATTTCCTGTATTTTATGTTCAGTAATAATATTGGATTTTACTGTATCAAATTCAAATAAAATGTATATACAGGGCGTGATAAAAAAGTGGGACGGAATATTTCGAATACTCGAAATTATTTGTCGACATCAAATGTTTATCAAGGTCTCTATAAGTCTCTATTTTACGTAGAGTGAAAATTATGCGAATGGTTTCGCATGCAGTTAAATTGGAAAAGACTTGTCAACTGGTATGTCCAAATTTTACTTTCTGCAGACACTGTATTAAATATAACCTTGAAACAAATTGGCACTAAATCACTTCCGAGTTTTTAGCAAAACAAAATGTTTAAACACGTGTAGTCCAGTAATTAATACCAAAGCTATTGAGAGTATGCAGTCCAATAATTAGACAGAAGGTACTTTATCGTTTAACTAAAACACACCACAAAGTCCGAATTGAATTCCCGAAACACTTTTTTGTTACTTCTTTTTAGCAAATGATTTGTCCTATTCACTGTCTGATGTTTCACTATCTGAATTGTCTATCCGAATAATTAGAGGCTATAACTCGCTCGGTTTGAAAAGACTGAACGATTATGTCTTCCGTATGTCTAATACAATTTTGCCATGGTTCTGCCTTTATTTGTTCTAGAGATTCTTTTCATAAACTAAGAACGCTAGCATCATCTGTTGGTATGGATGCATGTTTTTTTCTGTCAACCACAACTTGTAATCACCTGTATTCTTTTTGGACAAAAAAATTAAACTAGCGTCAGGAATAAAACCCTCATCATTTCCAGCATGCTATATAATGTAGCGTTTACCATTACCTTAACGACTAGAAGAATAACATTTCGTGGTGCTATCTTGCCAGGATGATTTTGACATATTTCCTTTAGCGAATATCCAAGTTTTCTCTAAAAATACAACTTGCCTCGGACTATCAGACATTTTATTGTTCATGTATTTTCTTAAAAAATGCCACCGTTTTAAAACAACATTAGGCAGTTTACACAATACTTGTCTATTATTTGTCTTTTTATATCGAAAACCTAAATGTTTCAGCACTCTCCACAAACTTGTTAAGGCTGTTTTATCGGTGCACCAAAATTTTTTCTCTGTTATTTACCGACGAAATGTCTCGAAATTTGGACATATTATACGAAATTATGTTGCCTTTAAACTGATGGTTTTACTTTTTTATTTTTTTGAATTTTCTGTTGAAAAATTGGATTATACTGTTTAACGTTCTATTATAACCAAACTTTTCACGCCCATCAGTTGAAAGAGTTTTTTTTTCTGTAATCGTTGATTCTTTTTTCACCTTTCTGTGACCAGTAATAATCGAGAAAAGCGTATTCAAACTTTGAAGAAAATTGCTAAAAAATACTGAAATCTAATAGTGAAACGTGTTCCTCATCATTGTCGCTGAGCTTGATCGTTATCGCATTAGTGACGTCAAATCACATGAGCGTACGGTACGGTCTTATTTTTATTTCTCTATGGGTACGGTCAGTTACAGTTCGTCCCAAACCCTTCTTTCAGTGCGTCATAGTTGTTCGAATTCTCTCTAACGCATTAAGCTAGAAGTGACAGAAAAAAACGTGAGTCTCTGATTATTATACATAGAACTTAGAAAATTAGGTATCGTTCACGGGTATTCGCATATTAAAGTGAATTCTACTTACGAACGTATAATTGGTTGAAGTTTAGAATACGCTAAATAGATATCCAATCAATTATGCATATAAATATAATTTGACACAGATGATCTTGATAATGACAGTGACAGTACTTTCACAATGTCAACTGATAAAATGATAATTGCTATTCCAGGTTAGTATTTTCAGACATTTTAACTACAGTGAAAATTAAATTTTGTGTTTATTGTCATAAAAATATTTTAAATATTCCGAGATATACCGAGAATGAAAAAAGACTAATAATTAAAATTATTAAATTAGTTTCAATTAGAAAAAGAGGCTGAGACATCTTTATTATCAGTTTCTGTCGTTCGCGAGTCAGATTGTGAATTCCGGAATAAGATTGAGGAAATATCTTAAACTAATGCCTTTATGGATATTTATATGTATTAAAACGGTTCTTATATAAAACATTTTCTTGAAATGTAGGATATAATTGATACCAGCCACATATCTAGTGTAATCATTGATTTTCAAGAATCAGATTCTGAATGGGATTATAGATTGTTTAAAATATAATATTCATTTTTGTTATTCATAAAAAAGAAGGTAAACTTACATTCGGTATCTTGTTTTTTAACTAAACTTCATTAGCACGATTTCATCTGGATATCGGAACTGGTAGATTAACTCAAAAATCAACTGGTTTACTATTTAAACTATTTATATTGTTTTTTTTAACTAAACTTTATAACCTTCTTTCATTTGCACACCAAATCTGGTAGAATAACTTAAAAATCAACTGCTTCACTATTTAAACTATTTCCACTATTTAATGACAACTCTTCACAAAATTAAACTATTGGCTGCCACACGAACTTATCAGAAAATTATTTATCCAAATATGACTGATTTAAATCGATATTATTTTATCACAAGAATGTTTACTTTGATGCCTTGCAATTGTCAGTAATTTTTTTACCTTGCAGTCAACTCTTAAAAGATTCTAGGAGGAAGCGTTATTTTAAATAAACAAACCTTCCAATTCTCTAGTGTTTGTAATAAATAATAATAAATCCATAAACAAATCTTAGCTAATTAAGCACTTTCCATGGAATGTATAAATAAATAACCTTTTCACGTTTAGCTGATTACGATCCTGCAACTGTCAGATTTAACTAAAATGTCATGCAATAATTCTCGACATTCTTAAAATCCTATATGACGTTAAAATTAGTGACGCACTGAAAAAAGAGTTTGGGACAGACTGTAGTTCGCTTGAATGAGAATCCATTTTAGTTCTTTCATTCTTGTATTTTCTTTATCAACTTGCTTAGTTTTTACAGTTTACAGTATTCTTATTTATTTTGAAAACATTAAAATTATTTAGTTTACGTGTATGTTAAGTAATATATTATTAGTTTAGTGGTATAAGTTAAAAGTTCTTTAGTTTACGCGTATTTTTAAGTATTACATTAGATTAGTGATACAAGTTATAAGAGA